GACTCTCCTAAAAACTGTTTTCATTTTGCCAGGAATTTTTGAGGAATCATATTTATAGCCCACTTTATCCCTTTTTCCTTCTTGACTTACTAAATGGGAAAACTGAGAATCAACTCTGACCTACACTTTACCTGCGTGGTTACATTTTCTACTGATACCCTTAAACAACACACACAGGCCTGCTGTGTGCAGAGTAAAAGGTTTATTGCTTGCTGTAATTGTTTCTCCTGTCCATGAACCACAAGCGTGGTTGTTCCATGTTCTTGTGGTGCGGCTGCCAAAAGCAGAACTTGTTCTGCTCATCAGTGGATCTCTTGAATAGAACTACTACTGTGGCCAACTGCCGACATCTGTCCGCCACAACAAGATTCTCTCCAGGGAAGCACATGAGTGATGATTCTGAGGACCGACACCACAGCAAGCTGGTAAGTGAGCCATCCGGCAGGAAAAACGCAAGACAAGAAGGACCGGGGCTGGCTGGTTAGTAGTATATGAACGTGATGGGATTATGCGGTGCTTTATTGTCCAGCTGTGTAAAAATGTGTACAAAAGCAGCTCTGGGTAAACCATTACAGGCACCAAAGGGTATATTAAATTCAGACAGATTTAGAAAGAAAAAAACTGTCCTGCAAAATTTATTCTGATGTGACTCTGAGACATTAAGGCCAGCAACACTAACAGAACTTCAGTCCTGAAACCTCCCACTAAGCTCTGTCAGCCATCACAAAGAGCTGTAGATTTGATCAGTGAGGCCTGACAGCAGGCGCTCATAGACTTTAACTGCAGCAATAAGCACGCTCGCTTCTAGCTGCAAGGAGCAACGCATTCAAATGCATTTACTGACGGTTATCAGGCAGTGAAATAGAGGTGTAGCTCACAACCTCTCGGCTTGGAGTGGAGCCCACATGTACGTGTAAGTTGTGTTAAACAAATGAAGGATGCAGTGAAAAGAGATTTAAATCAGATATGTCTTTGTATTCAATTCTTAGCTTCATCGCTGCACACGTTCAATACTGGACACACACAAACTCACACATTCACCTAGAAGATTACTTAGAAATGATACAGACCACATTATCTACCAATTGATCCCTGGCTGCCCCAGCCTGCATCTTGCCCGTGGATACTTTGGCGAGATACTTAACCCTGAGTAGCTCCCGATACACTCATTGGAGTGTGAATGTGTGCGCATGGGTGAGTGAGCCATATTCTATAAACCTGTGTGTTTACCATTAACATCCAGAAAGTATGTAGGCGCTAGATGTGTGCAGTGGGTGTCTCTATTTGCGGATTCAACTGGGCCATTTTAGGAGGACCGTAAAACACGGTAACACCACCCAGAGAAAGACATAGACGCAGACAGACGACCCCTGAGGCCCTGAAGGCACCAGGAGCCCTTAAAAAAGAAACACCAGCTATCTTATCTCTGCACAGGGAAATGTAAAAGGCAATCCCTTGAGCCTCACATCCAGATTACTGTTTCTGATAGTGCCTATAGTTCCTGACTCCAACCATCGAGGCTTAGAGAAATCTTTTTAGAGTGTAAGCCACTTTGAAAGAAATGTTCTTGACTCTTGACTTTTTTGCTTGCTGTAAATGAGTTTGCAAAGCAGTCTTCTTCCCTGTTTTCCATCATGACAAGTGAAAACTGTGCTGATCACAGCGTATTCTCACTGACAGGGACTCTATGAACCAAGTGCAGGCATCAAGGGAGTATGACCCCGACCATCTCACTTCACTGCTATTATTATGTTGTATTCCCTTCAGGTCTTGCGCGTCTTTGAACTCAGCATTTACAGGATTAACAAAGCTACACATCTTCCACAGACTAATCAAAGCAGGACCAGTGACCTGAAGTCGCTCGATAGCCGCCATATCCGTTCAGTGAATCGCTTCTGAGGGTTTGTTATGGAGCAGAAAACACGGAGTGACTTCAAAGGGTGCGCAGGTTACTTACCGCAGAGGAGCACCGCAACCGAGGCTCGCATCTCTGAGCGCGCATCCACCCGCTGGGCCGCAGCAACCTGCCACACGCAACACACTCATCATTAGACATACACAGTAACTAAACTAAAGGCGGGTTTTGTGTTACTGGATGCAAATTGAGCGTTGGGAAAAGTTAAAAATGTGGGAAAAATTGAAGCTTTGATTATTTATTTTTTTCAATTAACGACCAACAATTGAAGTGCAGAGGACAACCAGGACTCCTTCACAGACTTTTTTTCATCCACTCTCTGTTTCTACTATTTAAATCACCGTTTGCCACTCTGTTCTCTGTAAACCGGTTCACTAAAGGAGAAAAAAAGTATAAACTGCTTTCAACTATCCAGCGAGCTAAGTATAACTGATTGTCTCTTATTTCAGAAATTAACTGATCATAAGCATTATCTTAAACCTTCTCACCGTTTGTGTCGCGTTTCCAACGTTTCCTTCTCTGCTGCCCCTCTTCGTCCACTTGTTGCGGAGTTCCCGGACAGAAGCGGAGCTGAGCAGTTCTTCTGCTCCTGCTTCTCTGCCCGGGAAACCCTGGGCCGGACTTACTGGAGCGGAGTTTCTTAATGCGCACGCAAATGGGCCGAATCCTTGGGTCGCGAGTTCGATTCCTTCAGTGGGCAGATGAAGCACACCCAGTTGCCTTTCTTTAAATGAGTTTTCGATTACTTTAGAAAGATAACAACTGGACTTCTTTATGTTTTGTGAAGACGTTTCACCAGTGAAAGAGGAGAGGTGAAACGTCTTCACAAAACATATTATTATTATTATTATTATTATTATTATTATTATTATTATTATTATTATTAACACGTCATCATCCAGAGCCGTCTATTCAGGTGTTTAGTCATGAGTCCATGCAAATCCATTTACAGTATCTTCCACCAATCTGCTCCCCCCCACCACTATATTACAATAGGTTAACTTCCAGCAGATTATACGTAATGTATACAGTAACCTTTAAGATGATTCCTATGTGAAATATGACTAGGCCGCAGTGCTTAAGTAAATAAACATACAAGGAAAGTTATGGTGTTGTGCCAAAGAAGTTACCCCTGCCAGAAATGTTACTGTCCTCAGAGTAGGAGGTTCTACAGGTGAGTCCAAGTGTTGGTACTGGATTCATAGCACAATACTTTCTTTTTGAGTTCACTGTCATGTCTGTTTTATTTTTATGTTATATATATATATTTTTTTAGTTTATTTGGCTGCTTTACCTGCTTTTTTTTTTTTTTTTTAAAAACAGTTTCTTAACATACCAGGACGGCACAAAAGCTACTTGATTATATACTTCACTTTATCACCATGGTCCTTTGTAGGCAATAATGGAGTGTGAAAAAACCCCTGCTAAAGCAAAGTGAATTCAAAGTAATTCCTGTGTCAAGTTTCCCTCCAGTAACCCGCTGCATGTTTTCCGACGAGCCCCCTTTCTGTCCCCGTGAGCAGGAATGCGCGCTCCCTGCAGGACGGATTGGATTCCCTTTGGTTTAATCCAATGAGGAGCCGTGATCGTTATCACAGATTCTATGCTTGAAAGCACCAGCCCAGCCACGCAGGTGGACCGCACGGCGTGACTAATAGTTATGTCCGGGGATAAGAAATATCATAGAAATTAAGTTTGGTGCAATGAATCAATCTTATATGAACTAAAGCTGTTGATTTCATGTAATCCACTGCATTGCACATGTGGATCATTTCACATGGGAGTAATACGTAGTTATAACTGTTTCTGATGTGCGCCAGTGTTTCACTGCTGGCAGATCGTCGTCCAGAACAAAGCCTGCTATAAACCTCCGTCATATTGCACATTCCCTGTGCTGCTGCAGGACAGCCCCTCTTTGTTAGAGACCAGGATCCAATGCCACAACCAAGAGAGAATAGGCCTTTCATACTGAGAACAGATCCCTGACACTTAAATAAAATAAGAGCCAGTATTTGGTGAAAGTTCACCATGTGTTAGCATTGTTTTTGGTTTTTGTTTGTTCGTCTTTTGCATGCTGCACTCTCACACAGAGGTTTTCATATCATTTTGCACACCCATCATCTAATGACTTGGAAGATACCACCCAGCAACATAGATACAATTAGCCAATAAAATGGTGCTGTGTGTATGGATATATCAGAGGGTGTGTAGTTCAATTAGATCCGCTTCACCATTGACTTTGAGTTGCAGTTTCTGGCAACTTGACAAATGCAACAGTTGTCAACATTCTCTTTGAGCTACATTTTTGCTCTCCCCCAACTCCCAAGAAAAAATCTCTGGCTCTTTTGCCACAAAATGTTCACCAGCTAGTCAAGAGCAGAACTGGGATGCTTGATAGGGAAACAGCAGCGTACAGTTTGGTTTTTAGAGCTGGAAAAATGCCGAATCCTCAGCTCAAAACAACATGTGTATGAACAACGAGACAGAACAAAACAGTCAAGTTGTAAAACAAAACATTCAGCTGAAAGCTGCTAAAATGCTCCATAGGCTTGGCAAGATGCAGATTCAGGGGGCAGCTTGCTAGTGTCGGCCCATCACCAGCCACTTGTTTCACACTTTGATTTTTTTTTTTGATTTTTTTTTTACTGTAAAGAGAAAATGTTTAAAAATTGGAGCGGTAAATGACTTTCTGTAACTTGAGCCAGGGATTCAATAGGCTGGCAAAGTGACTATCATTATTAACTAACAGCATTAATGATGGGTGAGATCTATTAGGTGTAACTTTGAGTGAGTGTAGAAGCTGTGTTTTGGCAGAGGTGGAAAAGAGAGAAGAAATGAAGGCTGTGGGCAAAGAGAGACAAATATGGGATTGAACTTATAGACTTAACTGTGTATAAGGTTCCCCTGTGTGGCAAAACACTGAAGCAACATACCTTCTTAAGCAATGTAAATATTGCATACAGTCTCACACAAATATGATGCATTTATATAAAGTGTCAGATTGACTTTGTCTTCATCATATCACCTCACAGTGTATGTTTATATGAATATTTGTACATTATAATTAAAGAAAAAGCACAAAAAGTACTTTCAAAAATTTTAATAGGAATGTCAGTGTGTACACCCCATACTAATGTGGTCAAACAACACAAACACTCAACATCTTGAAAGCACTTTTGGTATAGGTAACTGATAACATACTCTGATATAGTCTTTCCGCATACAGTAAATCAATTCCATTATTATCCGTTATTATTGGCTATAGAGTGAAATAAATGCTCTTCACAGGTTATCTGCCTATTGTAATAGCTTAAATACATGAACACCACCAAGGGCAGGAGTGATATTGAGGACTCAAACAGTACATGGACAGTTGAAGGCATTTCTGTGACATAACACTTGCAGGTAATGTGTAAAAACTGAAATACCAGTGAAAGAATGGAGGAACCTCCAGAGCAGCGTTTTATTTTCATTGGTGACAAATTTTCTGTTTTCCAGTCACAACAGCAGTTCTAACTCTCCTCTACTACAGCAGCTGATGACACGCAGGAGGCATCATCGCACACACGTGTTGTAGTTCTGCACTCGATGCCGGATCTCGTCCCGCACAGTAGTTGCGTTGTCTTTCAGCTTGTCCAACTCCATGCGCTGCTTCTCCATCCGCCTCTCATTGTTTTTGAACTTTTCCTCAAGTTCTGCAATCACAGGGAGCAAGAGAAAAGTTAAAGTAACAAGCATGCACAAAAGGCTGAAAGGTTGATCTACAGCCACGCCCTTGACCTACTACGAAATTCTTAGTTGTTTGTTTAGAGCCAAAAATCTATGCCAAATCTGCAGATGCGATTGTTAAACCCTACAATACACAATAAACATATCAGTAATATCTCTATCCTAAATTAATATAGGACTTAAAATTAGTTCCAAGGCAGAAACGCTCACTTGATTTTCACTGATTTGAACTGTGAATGCTCTGCTTTGATGTTTTTAATGTTTCTCTGCATTTCTATCCCGCCCACATATAATGATATTGTTTCATTTCTATCACTTACTTTTAGTCATTTAGTGCCTGTTACAGCACATCCACGGATCCTGTGAAAGGAACTGATCTTTACCTCGGAATATTTTATGAATATTAACAGTGTAACTCTACTCATCTCATCCTCATCTGTGACATCATGTGTTATGTTATGAATCTTGCTGCAGTGACAGCTGCAAGTTATCCTTCTTTTTAGCATAAGGCAGGAGCTGTATTACATGACTGTGCCATCTAGTCAGAGTCTTTTGTACACTATGAACAATGGCACATTATTTAAACGGTGGTAGTTTAACACTGGAGACTTCTTTACAGGCAATTTCTGGTCAAGTCGCGCACTACGGTCACAATGTGCTATATGTAGCTCACCTGAAGAACAAAGTCAACACTGAGAGCAGCCATATGAACTTACCGTCCAGTTCTCTTATCCCACTGGTGGCATTCTTGAGCCATTTCTCTGCATCCTCTTTGAGATCTTTGACCCTCTGGTTGATGTCCTTCAGACCTCCAGACACCCCACCAAGAGACTCGATCTTCATCTGCAGCTCACGATACTGTTTCTCTGTGTTGTTGAGGCTCTGGCAGATGATGCAATCGTTTTATTCAAGATTTATATATATATATATATATATATTTATTTATTTCTTCAATAAGTTTGGTCCAAACTCCACCAACAGCCTCACCTGCTCCAGTGAAGATGTTAGGTCAGTGGCATTGTCGGCCAGTGCTTTAGCCTCGATTGCCATCTGTCTGTTCTGCTCCGTCTTGTTCTTCAGAGCTTCCACCTCCTTGGAGAGGTTCATTAAACGCATCATGACATCCATCTGCTTGGCGTCTAGGCTCACCAGCTTTCCCTCCACCTGGAAAAAATGAGACATGAAGAAGGAAAGAGTTATGGGAACCACATTGTGCCTTTTTTCCTGTATCCCACCGCTCACCCCAACCAGTCATTTGTTCTACTGGAGCTTTACCGTTAAAAGGGAGTTTTTCCTTCCCACTGTCACCACATGCTTCATCATAAGAAGTTGTCTGATGAGGTTTTCCCTCTATCATTGTATTTTTACCTTACCATATAAAAGCACCTTAATGCAACTGTTTTTGTGATTTTGGGCTATATAAATAAAACTGAAGTGAAATGAACAAAAGTGCTCATTGGGGAGGTAGATTACAGAAAATATGTGAAACCTGTAAATTTTCATGTTCCAAGATTCTGTACCTCAGCAGTAGCGTTTCTGGTGCTGTTCAGGTTGTTGTGGGCTTCTTTCAGGGCAGCCTGTGCTTTCTCTATGGCCTTTCCAGACGCTTTTAACGCCTCCTTGGTAATATTGGTCATGTCTTTCACTTCCTCTGCTCGCCTCCTGCACAATAGCACCAAAAATTAGTCAGAGAGAACCTTTTTCCTAGAGCTCTGCTTAATAAATGCATGTTCAGTGCATTTAATAAGACTTAATTATACACAGCCTATTAATGCCATGGTTTGCCTGGTGTCAGCTGAACCCAAGGAAAAAGGATAGATGTGTGGATATCCTATTTGAACTTTAATAACAACAAGAAAGACAATATCCGAAACCAAAATTCATGTTGTAGGGTATGGATGATAATAGTGTAGCCACAGAATGCAGGTGTAACAAACATAGCCTTGAAGCAGGGGTGGCAGGAGCAGGAGAGTTTTAGAGGGCTGTTGTAGAGGGGGGCACCAATAAGCATATAAAGAGATCAAATTAATCAATTTGAAATACTGAGCAGCCTTCAGCTTATTGGTGCAGCCCCCTACAACAGTCTGTTTCTTGTGGTCCAGCGGGAATCTTAACTGCCTTCTGCTGAAGGCAACATTCATCTTTTATATGCAGTCACAGTTTAACTTTCAGCAAGCTGGCTTATGGGAAATGTGGTCCTTAATTTCAAAACAAAACAAAAATGATAACTCACTTGGCCTCTTTAGCTGCGTCAAGAAGCTCCTTGACTTTAGTGGTGTGCAGTGTGGTTTGATTTACAATCCCCTCAATATTGCTGATGTTGGAAAGACTTTCCTTTATCTGCGCGATCATTTTGTCCAGAACTGTCCTGTTCAGTGGCAGTGTGATCGACAGGACCTCCTGAGCCACTTTCTCTATGCTCTCTGGGTCGGCTCCCTCCTCTGGGCAGTACAAGAGAGGACAGGGACAAAAGGAGTGCAAATGCAGGAAGCATCAAGTTACATTAAGACACTGAAGCAATATCATCCACATACCAGTGAGAAAGTTTTTAATTTTCTCAATGAACTCTGTCAGGTTCTTATTGCTTTCTTTAAGCTCCTTGCTCAACTTGTTGGCTTTTTCCAGCGTGTTTATCGTCTGGTTCTTCAGTTTTTGTGTCATAGCAGCTATGTCCTGGAGCTGGACACAAGAAATCAAGAGTTAGATCAAAGAAATATTTCACTCATATGAGGCTAAACTGCGCATACTGTGAGCACCTTTTTGGAGACTTTCTGCAGCTCCTTACTGGCAGTGTTCAGACTGTCTGTAACGTTCCTGGCGTCATTCAGCGCAGCTACAGATGTGCCCACAGTCCCGCTGCATCCCACTCCTCCACATACATGGTTTCCCTGATTGTCATGGCAGCCGGCGCCACCACACCGACTGTCTGGGCAACTGCCATTGACGCTGTTATTGCTGTGACCGCCACACACCTTAAAGATGGCACCATGCACTGACTGAGTTAGTGGGATAAGACTTCAACGCTGGACAGCAAGACTTAAATGCAGTTTTGTGAAGATAAACCAAATTTCTAAAATAATAAATTGAAATGTTTTGTTATCAATATAAAAACCAAAAACCAAATATTTTAATTTCACTACTGCAAAATACTGTTAATAAACAAACAAAAATACAGTGCAAGTAGAGAGCTTCACTCTATAGTTGTCAGTGGAGAAAACAAACGTGTGTCAGCATTCTCAGACTCACTGGAAATATTTTAATTTTCTTAAAAGCCTGCAAATAAATACCATAATTTGCAGACTACCATCAGCAAAGAAATGCAGTGACATCATAATGTGTGTGTGCGATCTAATTTGTAAAAATACGATACATGACAAAATGCCATGTATTTTAAATAATCTTTTTAAGGCTCTGAAAAAACAAAACAAAACAAAAAAAAAAACCAAATCCCCACTGCTGCTACGTTTGCACATCAGGGACTGTCACAATTAAAACATACTCACCAATCAGTGATGGAAAACCATTTTCAATTTCTACTTAATCCTTTAATCATGAGCTGATTTGGCTTTTCCACTAGATGTCACTGCCAGCATAAAATTCCAACACTGTTTTTTGCAGATGTTTCACAATGTTCATAAACAAACTTGGCATGTTGCATGTTTAAAAACACATCAGTGAGGTTTTTTTCCTTTTTTTTGAGTAAACTTCTCTTTTTTTATGTTGATATTATTAAGAAAACTCCACTTTTTGGGAATTTACAATATTAGATGCCTAATGCCTAAGTTTTAATCTCATTTTCACTTTTTCAGTTTTTCTACCTCAGAATGACAGAACAAATTTCTTTTTCTGGCATGGATTCTTTTAATTAGAGAAAACGTATCTGGAGTTCAGAATTGTCACCTTATACAGTCCCCTGAAAGTACTCCTCACTGAGGCCTTCCCTACTCATAATTCTGAGGTTTAGATCTACGCTTATTCCACTTGCCATTCTCTTTCAATGAATGTTGTCTAATCTAGTTGAGGTCATGGTTAGGGTACATACATAACCCTAACCCAACATACATTTTTTTATTATAGCACACTGCTTACCTGGTCGCTCAGCTGATTGACCTGTTTATGGAGGTCGTGAGCTTGTTTTTGTAGGTCGCTGAGTGACTTGTTGTGAGCAGCCACATCACGGTTAATGCTGTTTTCAATTTTATCCAGCAGGTCTTCTGTGCGCGCTCTGGTCTTATTTGACTCTTCCACAGGACTCATAGGACCAAACACTGAAGCGTTGCATTTCATCTCAGCCTGCAGCGATTCCTGATAGTACTGCTTCACTTTCTCAAACTGATCTGTGAGAGACACCAGCAGCTTTTTAAAAGCAACGTATAAAACCTACTCTGCTACTGGATATGGATTTAGTCTGCTTCCTGTATTTACAGCAGCGAGGCTTCATGTGACATGTTCAAGGTTTTCATTTGTGCCTCTGATGGCAACAAATTACCTGCAAACCCTGAGCCGAACAGTTCAAGCAGCTTCTGTTTGTCAGTCACAGTGGTGTTGAGGTCCCGCAGCTCTTTTTCCATGTTATCCAGCGTGTGTCGGAGTGCCCTGTCTGTTTCTGCTGTCGTATTCAGCTCTTGGCCCATGGCCATCAGACGCCCATCAGTGAGGGCAATCTCAGCCCTGAAACACATACAGGATGTTCTTAAAATATAATAAAGTAGCTGATGAGAAACACCAAACGACATGCTGCTATTTCCTCACCTGAGGTCATCGATGCTCTGGCCAATGAGCTGGTAGACCCTGTTCCTGTCCTGCGTAATGATCAGATCCTTCACCTGCTTCAGCTTCCCTTCCAGTTCTTTGATGCGTGAGTCCCCAGCTCCCGGTGTGATGCCACCCTTCAGGATCTCCTGCACTCTGGACTGGATGTGATCCAGGTCCCTTCTAATCTGGCACAGGGCGTCATCCCAGAGCTGGAAGCACGGGTGACACTGGATGCATTTTGGGAAGATGCCGGTGAAACCACGAGCGCACTGGTTGCACTGCAGTCCCGCGGCTCCTTCCCGGCATTCACACGCACCCGTTAATCTGTCACACTGGGCAATCTCTGTGCCCTCTGGGTTACAGTTGCATTCTAAGTAGAGGAGAGAGAGAAATAAACAGAACCTCTAAATAAAATACTTGTAACCACACCTCATATCACTAAATACTGCATTTAGGTTATATTAAAGCAAAACTGGGAATAATCATAAAGAAGAGCACTGGAGAAAAGAAAAGAAATAAAATAAAACCAGTCCTAAGATGACATCTTATTATAAAACACTCTCTACAAAATACTTAGATAAAGAAGCAACTGTCAGGTTAAATTAATCGTGCTGAACAATAATATTTTAACCATTGAGGTTTTTGTTTTTTTTTAATACACAGTCCCTATTTTCAGATGCGGAAAATCTCAAAAGTTGTTTCATGGATAAGTGGGAGTTGTTTCTTTCTTGCCACATGATTGTTCGGGTGCAAAAATGCAACGTAAATCCATCAAACAGCGAGAGTTTGAACACTACTTGAGAAAAGAAGAATACGCCGGTGAGCACATCAACATGAAAAGACCCAAATATCCAAGGAAGACAAAAGTCGCGAATGACTGCGGGGTGATGTGAGGAAGAAATGCTTTCCAGGAGGTTTAAGGTGTATCCTTTCAAAGGTTAGCACAATATTATTGATTATTGTCTTGAAATGAAATGACAGTCTGCAATGTAATGGCATCTTTTCTTTTGTTTTCAAACCTGCATTGAGGTGTACTGAGTCACAGCTGGAAACAAACACAACTGTCCAGAAACTTTCAGACATAACCGCAGATGCTGACCAAGCTGTAGATCTAACCAGTACAGGTGAAACAGATCCCTAAAATCCAGACGTTGCACAAAGCATCGGCTCTTGAGGATAATAAGTAAGTATGAATTTAGTGTAAAACAAGATTTTTAAAAAACACATTTAAGAACAAACAACCAAACACACCAAAATACTCAGCTCTGGTTACAGAAGCCGAAATGTTTGAAGGACTAATTTAACTGTTTGATTAATATATTTCTTGGTAAAGAGTGGATCACTGATGTTACTGGTGTAACATGTCCCTATGTACTGTGTCTCCTGGGTAAGCTATAGAGTTTATATTTCATGCTGCATTTCAAACTTGTAATCTGTCCTAATGTTTGGTATTTACTCTAACTGTTGTGGCAACCTAGTCTGAAATGTTGAAGTGGTTTCACGCGATCTTTGTGCAAAATAAATTATAGCCCATCACGGGTGACTTTGTGAAACTGGCCGCCTATTTTTTGAAGAGGGTGATTTTAAATCTGACTGTCAATTTAGTAATTTAGCAGCAATTTGTTTTGATCCCATTTAATCTGAAAGCAATGTGTGGAACACAAATGTATTATATTCTTCATTGAATGATTATGAATTATTTTTGTTCACACTCATCATGCTCAGAAAAAGCCACCTGTGATGTAAGACGTTACATGGCGTTCATAAAAGTCATAGTGTGATTTACCGTGGCACTGCTCCCGTGGATCTCCCCAGTGGAACAGCTCACACTCGGTGCATTGTTTACCTCCAAAGCCTGAATGACAGTGACACTGGCCTGTGAACTGAAGAGCACACAAACTGGTCCAATACAGGTACACAACAAGCATATCAAAAAGCACATCTGAGGCCCTCTTTAGACAGAAGCTTGCAATATTCCTCACCATGTTGCAGTGAGTTCCCAGAGCGTGCTGCGAGTTGCAATTACACGCCTCACAGCCCTGATCCTGACCGAAGTTCCAGTAGTTAGGTGCACACTGGTCACAGTTATGGCCTACCACATGCTCCCTGCAGAGACAGGCTCCAGTCTGCCGATCACAGTCACAGTGTCCATCGCTGCAAGCAGACTGTAGGGTACCAGCAGTCACACAGGTACAGCCTAAGAACAGGAACAGGTGTGCAGAGAAAAAAACATAAATCACACACCCACGTTTTTTTTTTTTAAAAGATTATGTAATCCAGTGACTTTGTCATCACTCACGTCTGCAATCGTGGGCCAAAGCGTTGCCATAGTAACCGATTTGACACTGGGCGCAAGACGGGCCGTCAGTGTGGTACAGGCACTTGATGCACTCGCCAGTCCTGGGATCACATGACTCAGGATCCTGGGTGTCTATGTTGCCGTTGCACTCACATGGAAAGCACTGTCCACCAGGTTGCTCAGGGTTACCATAGTAACCAGGGGCACACTGGTCACACCGAAGACCTACGAGAGAAAAGTTGGAATAAAGATACAAGTCGTTTTCATTTACTTGACAGCACAGTGCTGTCAGTCAAACATGGATGAATGAACCAGTATGAACCAGCGCTCACCCATGTAGCCCTGTTTGCAGTTACACATGATCTGATCAGAGCTGTGGTCAACCTGACAAGATAACGCATTGAAGTTATCGGAGTTGGGGTTATTTGGGCAGGGGCAGGGCCGGCAGTGCTGCCCTGATCCAAGTGCTGGGTTTCCAAAGAACGTGTCCATGCAACTGGAACAAAATGAGATAAAAGATTTGCTTTCAATTTGATCACTCGGACAAAGGAGCTGAAGTGTGAAGTGTGGCACTGAATTTTCCTTACCGCTCACAGAGATGTCCTGCTGTGAAGTCCCTGCAGCCTCGGCATTCTCCCGTGCGGGGATCGCAGAGGTCTGCATGGCCGTTACACTGACAGGGGGTGCAGCTGGGGAAGCCCCACTGGCCCGGCTGACAGTCAGAGCACTGCCGCCCTGTGGCTCCTTGTCTGCACTGACACTGGCCTGTAACTGGGTCACACTGGTGGCTCAATGAGCCGTCGGAGTGGCAGTCACAGGCTGGGTAGGGGAGTTTAGAGGGTTATATTCTGTTTTTCCCCCAAACATGAATATATATATTTATATATATTTAAAAATACAGCTGCCTTACCAATGAGTCACACATATTTACATGAACGTGTGTGTATAAACCGACTCTTTAAAGTTTCTTTTTTTTCCCATTAGAACGAGCAAATGTGTCACTTTATAAGCTTTTCTCTGATTTGCTTTATGTTGAACATTTAATCTTGCTTAGAAAACTTATGATCATTATTATTATTCTAAATGGCCCTGATTTGTATCTCCTAAAAGAAAGAAAACAGCAAGTTAAATAAGTAGCTTCATTAATACAGAACAGAGTATGTGAGCCCATTTTTACAGTCGCACATGTGATTTACATATTTCATGTCTACATGTCTCATCATTTAACCTACAATTCATTCTAGGTGTGCGTTTGTGTACATGGCCTCGAACACAATGTCAGTAAAACCAACAAAACCATGTCAGGGTGATTGTATTTCTCCCTGACGGGGAAAACGAGCCTGAGTAATAAATGGATTTATGACAATGTTTATTTTGCAAAACAGCTCATGAGCAGGAAAAAAGAAAATAAAAGAAAATTACAGCTGAAACAGTATAAAGTGATTTATTGTGCTGTAGATTACTGTGTGAAATCACAGTTTTATAAACAGAACTATATGACAGACTGAGCTGATCAGTGGGCAGACTCACCAGTGCAGCCGCTCACACCGAAGCCGTAGGTCCCCGGGGCACACTGGTCACAGCGCCTGCCAATCACGTTGGGTTTACAACGGCACTGACCTCCCACTACGTCACACTCACCGCTGAGGGAGCCCTGAGGGTCACACTCACAGGCTGGATACAGCAGATATGAATAAATGGAATACACAAAAGGAAATGTTTATCATTTAAAACAGTGCTGAGTTTGAATGGATTTGTCATCCTCGTGTTTTTGTGTCTACTTACGCAGGGCACCGTCGTGAATAATGGAAGAAATACTGCAGATGAGTTTAGAGCACATCTCAGCCAGTGCAGGCATCGGAGTGATCATAAAGGAATCAAGACACATGTAGCGGATCATCTCCTCCTGACGCTGCTCTGACTCTGGTGTGTTACCTTGAAACCCAGGAAGCTCCATGTATTTAGGGATCAATACCAGCTATTGGGCGAAAAAAGAAAGCTTTGAGACAGCTACATCAATTAATGTAAACAGGAATGATAAGACAATGACCTTAAGTTCTTAAATCAAAATGTATATTATTATTATTATTATATGTACAATCATTTCGCAACTTCTGTTACTGCAATTTGATTGTCCCACCACTAGGGGGAAATGTGATGGTGCAAAACACCAAGCAACACCCCCACAGGCCACCCACTGCTGCAGCTCAATTGGACCATGTTCAGACTTAACAGCCATACTAGTAAAAGCACAGCCAAAGCCGACTAAGCCATGGTGATGTCAACTTCCAGCACTTCTGAATGAGAAGGGCATAATGAAAGGGGAAGGCTTCCAGTCTTAGCTCACCGAGTCAATAAGAATGAAGGCAGTGAGATGTCTGTGTGTGGCGCCATGACGCTGGAACCTGATTGTAACCACGTAACGATTGCTGGGCTCAAAACAAAATGGTCTGGGCATCTGGATGTATCTGCAAGAACACATTGAACATGAAAGAACATGTAATGATAGATATATTTTATACTTTATCTTACTTTTACTTTCCACTCTCATTTCATGTGTGGAGAGGCAACATTAACAAAGCCTGTGAAGTGACATATCCTGGTTGTCATTCACTTGAAAAAAGGTCCAGCTATGTCGGCATATTTGTGCCTTGAAGTTATTATGACAGCATATTAAGTTTTAGAGTCAAATCTACTAAGTAGGACAAATTAGCATTGGGTCACAATCACAATAAATGCACTGATAGGAGTAGAAAGTTCTGGTGACTAACACTAACAATGTGTTAATTTCTAAGCAAAGACTTTTAAAAGCAGAAAATTAGAAAACAATGTAAGAAATTTGCAGATTTGATGAGAGAGCATGAGGGAGAGAGATAGATGCTAATCAAAATAACACAGTGTGAGCCTTGGTTTTTGTAAATGTGGTTCTCTCTGAAAACAGTATGGCAAATGAGATCAATAACAGTGCTGTGCAGTTAAAACAGGTTTTAGTGACTAGAAAACACCCAATATGAAAGTAAACTACAGAACAGTACCATGCCAGTTTGTTTCCTGTTGTTTTTTAGAACAAGCATTTTATACCAGGGTTGACTTGAGCTACCCATATTTGCTGTAACTCCTGCGTCTGTGTTTTGGTCTCACTTTACTAATTGGTTTTAGCTGACAGATCCACTGCGGGAGAGAAAGGAAGCTGTGATATGCTCCGGTTGAAGTGCCAGATCCGGGCAGGGTCTTAGTTCCAGATGAGTTAAAACTCTGAAATGCTTTTCAGCAGAAAAGCTAAACCGTTTCAGTTTTGAGCATTTTAACTTATACCCTGTTTATGTTTCCTCTGTTTCTCTATACAAATAAATGAAGAATTATGACTTTGACTCTGCAGTCATCAGTCTAAAGTGCTGACCTTCCTCCAAAGGAATATAAATTTTATCCCACAGAAAATGATCCCTGCGAGTGTCACCCACTACAGAGATGTTATCAAATGGTGATAAAGTCTATAAAGATTAGAAAAATATACCAGTAAAATGCAACATAGCTGTAAAAATGACAGAAAATTGTTAATCTGGTGATTTAGCGCACAGTGTTGGAAAATAAACAATTTTAATTGCGGTTAATTATTTTATCAATGAGTGGGCGCTCGGTGCTGCTGTTTATTTCTAAAGTGATGGTTGCTTATTAGAGACCTGAAACTTACTGTCCCAAAAACTGCAGGAGGGTAAAGTGCAGGGGTCAGCAACCTTTAACGCCCAAAGAGCCATTTGGACCTGGTTTCCACGCAAGAGAAAACACTGGGAGCTGCAAATACTTTTTGACATCTAAAATGAAGATAACACTGTATATATAGTGTTTTACTTTTATGCTTTGTGTGAACAACTAAGGTGTGTTGCTTGTAATTAACATATTTTGAACTCTTAAAGAAATATAACAAAAGGAAAGACACCCAGCTGAACTAAAATGATCCATGTAGCAAACAAAAACTGTTTTGAGCCGCCACCCTTATATCGCCTTTGGGCTTTTGGACCTGGCTTTTAAAAAATAATTGGAAAAAAAGCACTATGCTGCTCAAAAAAGAAAAATAAATGTTTGCAAAATTCTACCTAAATATGTATTTTACCAGTTTAAGGTGTGTGTCTGCTGCGCCGCTGCAGGGGAGGCGGACGCACCTGAGCGGCACCCGCAATCACGCCTCGCCGCCTTAACGTCTGTGCCATCTATGCTGTTGTGTTGGTATGTGTTGGGCTGTGAGCTGAAAAGCTACAGCCGGCTGTATGCGTACAGCAACCGTGTGTGAGAAAAGTGGTCAATAAAGAGATGCTGAAAAGCGTGTTCATGCAAACATCGTCGGGTCTGCTGTGATATGTTTACAATGGGACTTCGGCTCCTGAACCTCTGCGCACAGTGAAGTCACTTTCATCTTTACGTAGGACTGTAAGCTGTCATCTGTGAGGCGTGAGCGGTGTTTGGTTCACAGTGGAGAACAGCTACTGACACAATGTGGATCCAAAGATCCATAATTGGCCTACCTGGGGTTTGAAAGTCTCGATAAATGCAAGGCGTTTCGGCGGGTATACCGGCTTCCGCGAGTGTGACGCTTATTTTGAGCAATGAAAAAAATAATAGAATGTTATTTTATTTTTATATTTCAATATCACAATAATCTTCCAATTTAGAACCACAAGTTAAAAAAGAACTAACATAAATAAAATCCACTTCAGCTAAATACTTGTTTATTACTAATTTATTTTCCCAAACCACGCGGAGCCGCACTATAAGGACTAAAGAGCCGCAGGTTGCCGACCCCTGGTATAGTGGAATAAGCCTGACTGAGAGCAAGTTACAGTTACAACAATGTAATGATGCAATTTTTCCTGAACAAATCCTGCAAACATACTGGCTGTGATGGCTCCCTCTCTGGATTACATGCAAACCCCATGCACACTCGCATGCATTCATTCAGGTCCTGTTACCTGTTGTGGTGTGGCAAAGTGACAGTGTAGAGCTGTTCAGTAGGTAGGAGGTTTCCACACCGGAGACTGGAGGGCAATTCTACAGATGAAATACTAACAACAGCCTCCCAGTTCTCTGTAGACTACACACAAAAGGAAAAAGGCTTTTACTTCTATTTTTGCTTTTTTTTAAAACAAAAAACATCATATTCTCTCCATACTCACACACCTCAGGTTCATAGCGGATCATGATGTCATACTCCATGGCATAGGGTATGTTATCAATGGTGAAAACCAGACCAGCGCCATCTTTAACACGGGAAAAACCAGGTCCTGTCCATGTCACCATATGGCTGAGAGTGTGCTCTCTATGAACGGTCCTCACATCCGGCTGAATAACAAAGACACATCACCAAAGCATGGCTTTCTTTTTGACCTATTATCACTTCTACTTTATGCAATACTTGTGCTATATGCTGTTTCCTCTTACTGACATAACTGACTTCCTGCCAGCAGCTCTGAATTAAAGGTCGGTGGAATGAAAAAGTCTCATAAAACAACTTTTAAAATTACCAAAGCTTACCAAATAATTGTGATTGTTATAACCCCATCAGTGTTATTACAATCACGTTGCTATTCCAACAGTAACTCTTTCTTTAACTCTGTTTTGACTTCCAGTCTATCATCTGTTAATACAAGACCTGATATATTAAAATTAAATAATAAAGAATACTTTTCCATTATGTTTTTGACTCTTTTGGGATTCCTGTTCTTTAATCTGTCCCAGTGTTGGTGGTCTTGTACCCACTACCCCCACACTCTTTTTTCAGGTTGACTAGTTTGTGCTGATATCATTGATTTGACAGTTAAGCTTTTAATTAGGCAAACTGACGTCCACTTGGAAAGTGGTCTACGTGCACATGACCACAAACGCCTAAAACTGTAGACGTTAGTAATGCTCTGCTATTTAACTCTCCTGATACAACTGCAGAGTCTTATTGGAGGCTGTAGTCTAATAATGACTGTTTCTTTTATTTTTCCATGCAATTTATATCAGTAAGCATAGGCTAAATAACAGAAACACCTCAGTATAAAGAGGCATAGTACAGTGGTGAGCTGTTCCTATTAGGGGTCTTCACAAACCAAAAATTAAATGAATAAGTCAATAAAAGAAACAAAAATCATACTGTTTGTTGAAGCTGCCGAATACGTCTCAGTGCTGCCTGATGTTGCTGCGACTTGGCAATGTTACGGTGCCGCCGGTGCCTCCTGAGCTGGTTGCTGAGGTGCTGAACACAGTCATTAGTTGCTTGTTGGCGAACTTGGCCCTGGAGGGGAGAGAAGAGGAGAGTTTTGACTTTTAACTGACTGTTTAAGGAAAATAACATTTTTATTTCTAGTTCTCCACACACAAAAACACAAAAAAACACCATCCCATCTTCAACAGTGTCAAATTTATATACGCCACACAAATACAAACAAATTTTCACAAGCAAGTAAATAACAAAAAATGTTTTTTATCAAAAGTTATCAAACTGAGATGAAATGATCTGAGTCTTTCGTGCATAGAACATTTAGCAAAACATGTCAAAACACCTTCACCTTGGTTTCGTCTCCTGTGCTCAAATTGCTGGGGTGTAACAGAGAGAAACAATGATAAGAAAAATGTGAGATGTTTTTGTGTGTGCTGTTTGTTGTACAGCAATAATAAATTGTGACATGTCGGTATCTGTGATCTGGTCTAGCAATGTCATGGATTACTTCAGCTGTGAAGGCCTGCACAGAGATCCAGCACTTTGACTACATCTTGCTTATTCTACACCATCCTGCAACTTTAACAACTTAAAGACACCAACCCTTATTTGTTCAAGCAATATCTTCACTTGTTTAGTGTCTCACATTTCTTCTCATAACATTCCTGAGTCACTGGAGTTTTCCCTACATTCCTGCAGCTGTGATGTTGTAAGTGAGGACTGTTGCAGCTTGCCCTGAGGGCTAAAGGAGGAACTATTGTATGCTGTGTGTCTATTAACAATGAGGAGGATGGCAGCAGGTGGTGAGTGCAGAAGACAGAAACAGTGAACAACAAATGTACAAATGTGGGTACAAACAGGTGGTAAACAACAAAAACAGTGATGTGAGGAAGAATGGAGTCTGATAGGCATGTAAAATTAGTTGCCGATTACAGGAACAGACTTGTCGCAGTGACAAGATCTCCTTGTTGAAACAGGGTGGTTGGGGGGACCCTTTTGTTGTCTGGTGATCAGTCTGGTCCTATCCGGTCCATCCGTCTGGGTTGCAGGGGCAGCAGTCTAAGCAGAGACTTTCCTTTCTTCGGCCACTTCTTTCAGCTATTTTACAGGAGGCCGAGGCGTTCCCAAAGCAGCCAAAGGACACCCTCGAGAGTGTCCTGGGTATATGCCAGGGCCTCCTCCTGTTAGGACATGACTGAAATACCTCACCTAGGAGATGCCCAGGAGGCATCCAAGTGAGATGGTCCAAGTATCTCAAATGGCCCTCTCGATGTAGAGTATACATAAACTCCTCCACTTACAGCAGCCACTTGCTCCGAGCCAGGAGTGGAAACTCCACCCTTTTCATCTGAGAACCATCACCTCAGACTTCACATCATAACCGTTTTACACTCAACTACAAACCCAAGCCTCTTCCAATGCAAGATGGAAGTCATGGCTCAATGAAGGCAACAGAACCACATCATCTGCAAAAAGCAAAGATGAACTCCTCAGAGCACCAAACTCTCCACCCGCTACACCTCGGCTGTGCCTAGAAATTCTGTATCTTTTTCATTCTTCTCCATAAAAGCAATAAACAGAAGTGGTAGCAGAGAGCAGCTCTGGTGAAATCCCATTCCACTGAGAAAGAGGCTGACTTATCACCAGCCATGTAGATCAAGCTCATTTTGGGATAGCTCCCAAAAATTAGTTCAATGTTCTATGAAACCAAAACACTCCTCCACAGGACATACTGAGAAATGCAGCCTTCTTGAAGCCCACAAAACACATGCAGACTGGTTCGGCAAGTTCCCACGCACCCTTGGATGTGGTTGAAAGGATAAAGAGCTGAACCATTTACATGCGGAAATTGCAACCGGTTGCAAGTTCTGTCAAAACTCAGGAACAGGACACAGGTCTGGGTGCAAAGTACTCAGGGCTCCCAGTTTCACCAGCAGAAGCTGTTGTTGCAGCCAGTTACTCTGGTCATTGTTTCCAATTGTGGATAATTGAAAAACTTAATAAAAAGCTAAAAATGTGATGAAGGATAATTAACTGATGCTTGATGGTGAGTGAAATCTTTCTTTTGCTCACACAGTTTCCAAAAAATACAAAAGACAGGCAGAAGAAGAGACTCTGACCTTTTGCTGAGATGTGTGTGTCTTTTACGTAGAGATACTGTAAGTGATCGGTGACCTTTGAGGTTTCCTAAGTGAACATGTTGGATCATACAGCTCATTACTGAAAGCCACACTATGTGAACATACTTCCATGGATACAGTCGTCATGTATCCCATTCTTGCTAAAACAAGAAAAAAAGCCTGTTAATTAAAGTCATGTGTCTTCTTGCAGCAGCTAATCATGCTTTTTCTCACTTTGAGCTCACAACCATCTTCTTGAAAAGCGGTTACATAACCTCTCCACCATCAATCAGTATTTCAAACCTGCTGCATGCATGAGACACAAACACGTCGAAGTTCTAGGTTTATGCTTGCACAATGGCCTTCCTTAAACTTTACAAATGGCTTGCTCTCCCCAGCTTATGATTTTAAGTGAATTTTGCATCTACTCATTTGGGGTTTGGGGTAAGCTCAGCATTTTTCTACAATATGGCCTGCATTTGTATAGCGCTTTTCTAGTCCTTAAGGACCCCAAAGCGCTTTACATTACGTCATTCACACATTCACACAATGGCGATGGCAAGCTACATTGTAGCCACAGCTGCCCTGGGGCGCACTGACAGAGGCAAGGCTGCCGGACACAGGCGCCACCGGGCCCTCTGACCACCACCAGTAGGCAAACATGGGGTTGGTATCTTGCCCAAGGATATTTGGCATGCAGCCAGGAGGCAGCCTGGGCTCGAACCACCGACCTTCTGATTAGTGGCTGACCTGCTCTGCCACCTGAGCTATAGCCACCCCACCCCCATTCTCTTCTTCAAATAAAATACTTTTAAAATGAAAGTTTTTGAAGTTAGATTCTACAGTGTGTTGTTTTGACGTAGTCAGCCTAGTAGTATGAGCCAATGATCGTAAATGTGAATAAGTGGTTTACACGGCACCATGCTGCTGTGCTCACCGGCAGTACGGGGTCAGCAGGAGAGTGTCCGGTGGCATCTTCGGCCTCATACTTGTAGAAGTCCAGCGGAGCACAGAAATACCCGGGCTGCACATCAGAGCATTGCCGGCCAATTAGGTGCCTCCTGCAGTCACACTGGCCGTTTTCCATCATGCACCTTTAAGTATCACATACAACAATGTGTAGACAGCCTTTTACTGGTGTTCTTGAAATCTCCTGTCTATTTGTTGTCTGCACAGACCATCAGACTGAATGAGTCACAGCCTCACTTCGTGTCCACTTGATGCTTTTTGCATCTAAACGAAATACTTGCAATTTACAGAACGCTTAGTTCTTAAAAGCAGAACACAGACGATACAAAATCTTTTTACCTGTTGTTGAAGGCTCCTCCAAAGTCACAGTCACAAGGTCTGCAGCCTGCCAGGTCATTACTAAGGCCCCAGTATTCCGGCTGTAGGAGGAACACAAACCTCACAATTAGCTTTTTTCACAGTTCATGTACACTTTTTTTGTACACTGCTGCTTTATCATGAACACTCAAAGCAGGAGTTCTATTTGTAATCGTGCTAGTGATCCATGGCTAATCTGCAGTCAGCAGAGACTGAAGGAGTCACTTGGATGAGTGACAAAAACATTTCTCCCACTGAAAACATTACATCCACATGAACAGAATCAACTTTTTGGGATTTCCTAACCTGGATGGTTGTGCATGCATCAAGACATAAACTCCACTCAGTGTTTTATTAGCGCACACACTCTCTGGTCACCTCATCTAATAATATGGATGTTTAGGTTTCCAGGCTGTAAATGAAGGCAGTTTCAACTCTTGCAAAGAGCTCACTGCACTGTATTCTCTGTCATTACACAGGCCAAGTTTACCAAAATAACAGCAAGAAAATAGCGCTATTGAAAGTGTCTTTTTAAACAACAGCCCAGTGCATATAGCCGATTAATGCAATCATATCGGCCAGTTCAGATTCAGTCCGATTGCTGAATACAAAATTGCTGTGATGACGCACGGTTTAGGTATAGATCCCACACAGAATTTTAAAATATGGCCCCATTAGTTTAACAAGTCAAAGACAAACATCTTCCAGTGCATTATTTAAAGATCCTCACTTTCACCTCCTTATTTTTATTCTTGGACTGCACTGGAATATCTACACAGAGTAGATTTTCATGCATTCAAGGCCTGCTATTGAGCAAACCTGGACATGAGCTTAGGATGAAACCTGAGAGACAGAACAACGACTGTTACTAACCAGACACTGGTTGCAGTAGCGGCCGGTGACATATCTTTTACAGGAGCAGTCCCCACTGATCTGATCACAAGGAGCTCCCATCACGATGATGCCACGAGGATCACAGTTGCAAGCTGATGAATAAAGACACAGAAACATGAATGCACATAAATATTTGAGATATCTACTTTTGTTCAAACACATTTTGGCGGCAGATGAACACATACGTTGGCAACCCAAAGGGTCATTCTGGCTGAGTCCATAATAACCCTCCTTGCAGTCATCACAGCGCGTCCCCTTCACGTTGACTTTGCAGCGACACTGTCCCGCAATCATTCCCATTTCAAAGTTGGTGTGGGTGTCACACACGCCTCCCTCCAATGACCCCACTGGGTCACAGTCACAGGCTTAAGTGAAGGAATGATGAAGATTGTAGGTAAAAGATGACAGGAATGACAGGAAAATTTTATGTTTCAGAGCAAAATTCCTTTTTTATACTCAGTACTGAATTTCTGTACCAAAGGAGAGAATCAAGGTATGAGAGACTCACAGATACAAACCCGTGGATCTCTAACATCTCTGTTTGGATCTTGGTAGTAGAAAGGTTTACACGTCTCACAGTTGCGTCCCATAGTGTTGTGCAGACAGTCATCACAAACTCCTCCAGTAACATTACCCGTTGCCATATACACTGCCATGTCAAAGTGGCAGTGGTCTGAGTGGCCATTACAGTTACACTCTGCAGAAACAGGCAAAGACAAAATGAGAACAGTTAAAGAACAATTAGAGCAAGCTTATTTCACGTCTTGGGTCACAAAGCAAAACTCTCCCATCTGTCAGTGTAAAGATGTTTAACTAAATGTTTAACAGCTTAACGTAAAAAAGAAGTCCAGTTTTTTTACATGATAAAAAATGCTGCTGTAGTAATGAAAGAAATCTGTCAGCAAAAAAAATCCATAAATGTTTAAAGTTACGGTAGCAATTATAATAAAAAAAACTTGTCATTGTAAAAAATAAAAATTTACAGTACCAAGTGAAAAAACGGGAACTTTTCTGTGTTTTAACTGTTATTATTTTCGATTAATTACTTTGGTGTAGTATCAAAGGGAACGGGGGAGGTCTTTACGAGTAGGAAAAACTATAAAAGCTATGACAACACAGTAAAAAGTCAGAAATCGATGCCTTCTATCACATGTCCGAAGCTGTCTAGCTGTCTGGAGGCTTTGGGCTTATCTTTGAAACCCCTGATTTAGAGGAACATGAATACCATGCTGACCACCCTTTTTTGTGTGGCGTCCTAATAATAATAATGATACCCTAAAAACTATCACATCGCATTAGCTTCTCCCATCTCCTTTAGAGGTCACCTATAAAGTAAATTTCTAGCTTTATATCTTTATTCCTGGACACCAGAGTAGCCCAGCATAGCTACATACATCTTAATTTATCTTTCTAGCATATATTTATTTTTAATTTAAACCCCCAAAAAGTGTCTCAGTTATCTTGTAAAACAAGAAACGTGAAAATATGTTTTCACTGGTTGACAAAAAGCCCCATTAATCATATTCAGATACTGTCACAGTCACAGAAAGCCGACTTCATCAGCTGACTGCGCTGCTGCTGGTAGTACCAACAAAGGGCTTGTTCTCTATTTCCTTAAATAGTCTAAAGGTTAGAAAAGCACATTTGACAACTATAAAGAAAGAATTTCAGCTACAAATGTTTCCATCTGAATTTTGAAGGAGTGCATATTTGCCCCACCTCTGCAGGTGTGAGGGTTCTCGGCCTCCGCTGGTCTCCACGGCAGGTCATGGTGGAAGTTTCGGCAGCGCTCGCAGTTCAGGCCTTCTGTGTTGTGTTTGCACACACAGCGACCGTGGATCTGAGCACAGCAAGATGAAAGGTGACAAGGATGAAAAGTGACATGGTTAGTATGGGCAGTGCAAATGAGAAGGCTGTGATTTACTGTGCTGCTGTTGATTATTTTAAACAAGAAGATAATTTTCCATTTTCCTTTAGTCTTACAAAGGATATGCTGATAATTACAGATTCAGTGAGTTTTTGGCAGTATCATGCACTAACTGACCATGCCGATCTCCCTGGCGTCGACCCCCGGCACAGGAGCGCACTCTGAAGCATGTCCGTAACAGAAGCAGCTCCCTCGCACTACCAGCTCATAGATAGCGTAGTAATATTTCTGCAGGACTTCAGGGCGTCGGTCCAGAAGGTCATCTCCCAGAGTGTTGAGCTTTGTGAAGTTAATGCGCAGGTTGGTGATGCGCAAAAGATCTGCAAAGGAAATGTTTTTTAAAAAAGTCAGCCAGATTTGCAAGATAAACAACATTAAAAAACGAGGCTGACAGTTCATTAATATGCACATTTTTTCCTTGACATTTTCTACATTTTTTTTCTGCATTAACCTGGAGTGTGATGAGACAGTAAATGTTAGAAATGTACTGATTGATGATGAATTCTGATGAAAAATAAGACGAGTTTGTAAAGTACTGTACAATATTTACACCTGGTATTAACATGTAATCTATATCTAAATGTATTATCTGAAAAGGGTACCCAAACGACAGGTCTTTGTGTTTACCTAAAGCTCTTCATTCATCCTTTAAACATGCAGGTAATTCTGCATGTTTGGTTTAACAGAATTTAATGCCAGATGCCATTCCTGACACAACTCCAAAGGGATTTGTCTCCTCCCTACAAACCCTTTATATTTACCAGTGGTGTTATTTTACTGTGCAGTAACAGTGCTGGTTACTAAACCACCAAAGACTGTGTGAAACATTTGGGTATGGTTCCTGGGTAGAATGACAAGTTCTTTGAAACAGTGGACAATGGTGGGAAAATGAGGGAGAGGTGTGACCTAAACATCAGCAATGTCTGTCCAACCTCTACTATATCAAAAGGGCTGTGCACACAGTGAATACGTTGCCATAGGTGCGACTGCTAGGTAACAAAACAGATTGTTCCCAACACCAGTTTGTACTGTTTGCTAGTTTTTGTTTGGGATGAATGCGTGTCAGTGAGGTCAGTGATGGTTCACACAATCCATTTATCTCTGGTTAAGATTTCATCAAAGTCAAAACATAATTATGTCCAAATGTGGCTCTTTTGATGCAACTCCATTCTAAGTGCAAAGTTTTCTGTGAACATCAGTATGACTTTTTCATTATCCAGACGACTCAGCTAAACAAATATAAGAGACAGGAAGCATTTGAAGCTTTTATTTGCAGCAGGAGCTTGGTAGAATACAGAATTTTAAAAATGCGGTGTCTTATTTCATAAGGAATAAGGTTCGGCATTTTCTGTATGAAATTCCTCATGCATACAATCTCTCTATGGGGAACATATATGAGAATATTATATGCATTTAATGAATGAAAAGTGTTCACAGACCTTGAATATCTAAGCTGTAGGGGTCTTTCACTGGAATGGCAGGATCCAGCACTTTATAAATAACCTTAAATAAAAGAAGAGATGTTTTCATTAGACTGCAGTATTAAGGAAATTCTATAAATATTCAACAAATGTTAAACAAAAATTTGCACAAAATGGAAAATATGCAATGACTGGTCACATATACCTTGATATCTTCCAACTGCGCTTATAAAATTCGAGTCATATTTTTTAACCACGCAGTGTGCTTTAAAGAAACACGCTATGTTTATATGGTAAATGTTCTTATATAGTGCTTTTCTACCCTGAGCATTCAAAGCACTTTGTCTTTTTTCTATGCTCTTTCTATCTAACATTCACACACATTCACACTCTGAAGGATGCATTGAAGAGCAACTTGGGGTTTGTATCTTGCCCAAAGACATTTGCAGACTGGTGGGATCGAACCGCCAACCTTTTGATTAGCAGATGACCTGCTCCACCACGTGAGCGAGGTCTAACCAGTAGTGCATTTCCTCACTTATTTCCAGAAACACAAACCAAGCATTTAAGCAAATGCTGGGTTTTATTGTGAAATGACCACATGATTTCAAATAAAATAATGCCCTGATATTACATGAAGAGTGGGAGACACCCCAATTTTTTTTTTGCAAGATTCTCATCTTCCTTATATGTGCTATGGTGCTATATGCGGAAAATTACATGGGCCATGGTTCAGATGAAATCAGATGGCAGTTGCTTGCTGATCAAGTGTGATTCCTGACAAACTTTAGGAGTGAGTTGTTTTGGTTGCAATTTAAAGCATGTAAAAGGTGTATTTGTCCTCTCCAGGGACCCTTAGTATTTAAACATACTGCAAACTGTTAGCACCAAATGCATGTTATATTATTTTAGAAGAAATCATAAGACCTTCACTTGAGTTGTCAGATCGTGCCCTTCATCCAAAACATTGTATTTTTATGCATTAATGTTGAGCTACAAACATATTACAGATATAAATGACGTTTGGGTAGATGGTGTAAAGTGGTAAGGGCCAAACTGACATGCTCTTTCATTACCATGAACACATACGACAGTTTCCAGCAAATGTTGCCCAGTGAAGCAGGCTGAAAATATCCCACTATAAACGTGTCATTTAACCTACTTTGCTGAAAACTCCATAGTGCTAAACTGCTCTAAAAGATTAGAGTTGCAGTACTTTGCAGAATTCTTGAGCCACCACTCATTCCTTTATACTTTACTTCCAAGCAGCCAGATTTTTTTTGTAATTTTTTAAAGAGACAATTGTTCTTCAGGCTTTCTGAACGTTCCTTTCTTTTCTTTTTGTGCATTTCATTCATTTTCAGTGGAGTCATTGTACATGACCATTTTCATAGGAGCATTTTTTTGTTTTTTAAACCACTAAACACTGACCTAAGAATCATTCAAACACAAAAGGGAACCGAAATCAAGGAATAAAACAGTGTCTTTTCTATACATAACAAAAAACTTAACAAACAACACATATTAAATCTTTCGATACTTTGTTACAAGCAGCAATTAACACACAAAGCTATGAAAAATTCCAAATAGGTCAAGTAAAGGACAAAATCAGTGGTAGGGCTAAAAAACATTATCTACAGCAGATGAACAGCATCTGAAAGTCTTATCCTTAAGAAATAGAGAGAAAAAAATCCAGCAAAGACCTGATACAAGACCTGAGAGATACAATCAGCCCTAGCTCATTCATTTAGTTGATGCTTAGTTGATACTAGTCACTGATTTCCTCAGAAATGGTCTCAGTGGAAGGGTGGCTGTCAAAAGGCCAATCATAAAGAAGGCAAACAGAGAAGAAAAGATGAGGTATGCCAAATTCCATAACATCTGGACTGAAAATCAGTGGGAACAAGTCTCATGTGGTGATTATCTACAACCAATAGAATCTCTGTCATGGAACAAAAGGTAGCCAAAACAGAGCTTTGGAATGCCCGTCAAGAAGTAATACTCAGCTCTTTGCCTCGTACACCATATTTCTACTTGCACGTTTGAATAAATTACTGTGCTGCCTACTGTGCATTTTCCTATATATAGGAATATAAAGAAAGTACTTTTGTATAAATTACATTTTATGTTTTTTGCATAAGGCTTAAACTACAGATATATATATACTTGAATGGGCTTAAATCTAAAAGATGCAGAAAGGTTAACAAAGAGCAAAAGTGCTGAACTTAGTTTCTTCTTCTTCTTCATGCCTCTTTACTAGTACAGGTACTTTTTAAACTTTTTACCTCTCCATTAGTGGAGGGTTCGATGTCAGAGTAGCGTTCCTCACAGATGATGTCATTGATATGGTGCAAGCCATTGGCAGGAATGCTGGGGAAGGTTCTGGTACAGTTGGAGGCATAGTAGCGGTAGGGACGCCATGTTCGGCCAAAGTCAGCTGAACGCTCAATGACCAGAGCTGCAGGTCGGAAAGTCTGAGGAGACAGAGTACGAAAGATTTATCTGAACCTTTCATTTGCTGTACACACAGATAAAGGATTTCTGCCTGATGGAATGCAGCCACCACACTTCTCAGTGTACATAACAAACACACACCTGAAGAATTATGTCCTTTGACGTGCTTAAACACATACAGTATTGCACATCCAACAGAGGTATACAACACATGGAGCTACCCACACATGAAAGAAAAGTGCATGTACCTTAAACTTCATGATGAGATGTGTAAAGTGGAATTCAGCCTCCAGGTTCAGTCTGATGCTGACACTCTCCTGGCCTGTGGAGAAAATAACTGTTGATGAATGTCGATTGACTGTTGCAGACCTTTACCTTTTTTCTTTTCAGATTTCCCTCATTCGAGAAATACCAGAGTCCTGCTCTTACTCCCACAGGAACTCAAATGTAGCATCAGTACCTTTACCCAGTAACCTTTCTGTGAAGGACCATTTGCCTTCGTATTATTTTGCTGTCTAGATGTATTATTCTGGTGTAGGTGTAATACCTATTGACGTGGGGTTAGTTCAACCCGGAGAGTTTATCTGATTTAGAAATTTTTCCATGTCTGTTTCTCTGAAAACAGAAAAACATGGAGTAAGAAAAGTCTGTACTTTATATGGGCCTATTGACATCTGTGGCTACGCTTGTTATCATTCTCATCATCCTTCAAGATTTGACCTTGGCCTACCTGTAAGTGGGTCCATATGCTGAAACATAAGAAATGTGAAGTTGTCTTCAAAATGCTGTCCAAACTTTAATTTAGAGTTAGACTGATTTAGAAGTGTCCACAGTATGCTGATCGTAGCGGTAGAAATATTAACATGAATTGAAACTTACAGATACATCACAGATTCACACAGGGTTTACATCACAGACAACCTGGATAATTACTGCACATCACTAGAGGTCCCCAGGTTATTCATACAGTGTATCACAATCTAAGGAAACATATTCTTCACAGACACACATGCATATAAATATATGAGGATGGAGGCAAACAATGAACACACTGATCATGTTTTTTTTTAAATTGTTATTACACACACACACACGCACACACACACCCACCATGGACAGATTGCCACCAGGTGTTGACTCTGTTGCTGTCTGTGAGGTAGATCACATTTTCAATGCGGTGGCTGTTCGAGTGTACGTTCGGGTCGTAGGGATGCTGGGAGTTGCACTCAAAACACTTCTCTGGTTGCTGAGGAAACAGAAAAAAGTTTTCTTTTTAAAAGTAACAACAAATTTAAGTTCAAAAAAAGTTCAATTGTTAAAATAGAAAGCAAGGCTTTCATGGTTATGGTATTGAAGAAAGGGAGGAGAAGCATCAAACAAAGAAAGTAGGAGAGAAGGAGGCCATGAATGAGTGTCCTCATTCTATTTAAGTCTGCCAAAAATCCAACATTCATCATCAGAAGGAGCATGCCAACTCTCTGTCATGGTACTAAATGTACAAACATGAAAAGTCCAAGGCGGTCTGATTGTCATCTGAGGAGATTACAGATTGTTACTTTTCAACCAAATTTAGGTAACAGAACATCCTTTCAACAAAACCTTAACACTGACTAAATGCCATCAAATATTATTAGGACATTTCACTAAAAGTATATCAACAACAGGAGATCTAACAGGTTCTCAGGCTACTTCTACTACGGGATGAAATGCACAAATAAAAAAAGAAGCTCTTTTTGCTTAACACTGTAACAGAATTTTTGCATAAGCAACATAAAAGAGTTGCAAAAATGTCCAAATCTAGGAGTAGGAGGAGAAAGTACAGGAAGAAGAAAAAATAGACTGACACACATGAGGCAGGAGTGAAGGTGGACACTTGAAATCAGAGATTATGGGAGAAATAAAACCATGTGACCAAGGTCAAAGGCATGAGTTTGAATGAAGGGTGGTTTCAAAAAAGGCAGACAGTGAAAGATGCAGATAAGAGCAGAGAATCTGCAGCAGAGTGTCAAAGAGCAACAGGGATGAAGGACAAATGTGCTTGGAGGGGAGGTAGGAAGTTAAGAGATCCAGGGAGTGAGAGAGATGCTGAGAAAGAGCAAAAAAAGGGCTCAATTTGAGAGGGGCCATAAAAAGGGGAGTACGTGGAGGGAAAGAGGGCACACCAGAGTGGGATGATGAGGGTATGTTGGCAAGAGAAACCGTAGATTCCAGAGCTGATAAATTAGGTTGTCAAGGGCGATTAAGCTGCTAACAACAGCATGGCTGTTAATGAGACTCGGCTGAGAATTGAAAAGAAGGCATGCTGGATATAGCGTGCGTGTATCCATTCACACATACACACTATTTCAACTTGAATGTTTATGTGTGCACATGCACATGTACAGTGGGGCAAAAAAGTATTTAGTCAGCCACTGATTGTGCAAGTTCCCCCACTTAAAATGATGACAGAGGTCAGTAATTTG